AGGAGAATGGACTTTAAATCAATTCTGAGTGAGAGCCAATTGATTTTCAGAATGGCCCTACAAGCCTCTTTAGACACGGTGGACACTGCGGCTGTACTACTGCAACTGCTGTGGTTATGTGCAGATCTTCATGGCTTTCTGCATCTGGCATCCCTAAAGAGCTGCAGACCAAAGCGGAGAACCTCCCCTTTGATAAAGACAAACTGCTTTCAAAAAAACGATGAACTACTTCACACTATGAAAGAGTGTAGAGCAACACTGCGCACCCTGCATATTCACCCATCTCTTCCCAAGAGATGACAATACCAACCTTACCAAAGACTGCGCACACAACAATATTATCGGCTTCAACCTAAACCATATGACACAAAGAGGAATTGCTCTAGACCCCCTAAGCGCAGACAAAATCAAGCTCAAGCAACCACCTCCCACCCATCCGGGAATAAACAACAATTTTGAAACATTGGTCGAGCGACCACTCCTTGATTCCACAGCCTACTTTCCCATTTGGCCACCGCCTCCAGAGTTTCCAACATGCCTGGCAGCGTATTACACAGGACCGCTGGGTCCTTGAAATAGTTCGGTCCGGTTACTCTATCCCATTCATATCCTATCCTCCTACCCTTCTCTGTCCCTCTTCACGGACCCCTCTCACGAGCACCTACTTCGCGTAGACGTGGTTCACCTTCTCCAGCTAGGCTCAGTGGAATTGCTGACGCAACACGACGGAAAGGGTTCTACTCCCATTACTTCCTGACCCAGAAAAAGACCGGAGGATGGAGGCCTATACTAGATCTACGCCGACTGAACAAATTCGTGAGGATACAAAAATTCCAGATGGTCACACTGGGCACAATAATTCCTGCATTGGATCAAGGGGACTGGTTCACAGCCCTTGACCTACAGGACGCTTATTTTCATATACCAATTCATCCAGCTCACAGACACTTCCTACGATTCGCAATCGTCACGACCATTTTCAATACAGAGTTCTTCCTTTTGGCCTCTCCACAGCACCAAGAGACTTCTCCAAAACTCTAGCCGGGGTTGTGGCTCACCTCCACAAACATGGGATCACGCTTTTTCCCTTACCTGGACAATTGCCTCATCAAAGGCATCTCCTATGGCAAGGCACTTCAAGCTACTCATTTCGCCATCTCCCTCTTTCACAGCCTGGGCCTCCAAATAAACATCCAAAAATCCACCCTGTCACCTACACAACAGATCGAGTTCATCGGAGCTCATCTCGACTCAATCCAGAGCAGAGCCTCGCTCCCATATCACAGATTCCTTGCTATCCCGCAGCTCATACGCACGGTCTCTATTCGTCCCAGGACACAGGCAAGAATCTGTCTACAGCTCCTTGGTCACATGGCAGCCACCACCTTCATGGTCCAGTATGCCAGGCTACACATGAGATAACTTTAGGGCTAGCTCAATTCCAATTTCAAACCCAACAGACACACCTTAGGGACGCTGCTAACTCCTCCTCCCAATGTTCTAGTTTCCCTACTTTGGTGGACAAGACCAGAAAACCTCTGCACAGGGGTTTCCTTCCAGCAACGATCCCCAACGCTCACGCTCACCATGGACGCTTCCCTAATTGGTTGGGGAGTGCATCTAGGGGGACACAGAGCACAAGGCTGGTGGTCTGCATCAGAGACGCACCTACACATAGATCTCTTAGAGCTCAGAGCAGTGAGGCGAGTATGCCTTTGCTTTCTTCCCCTCATAAGGAACAAATCTATTTGGGTCTTAACAGAAAACATAGTATGTATGTACTACATCAACATACAAGGAGGAGCCTGTTCACATTCCCTTTTCATGGAAGCCATCCAAATATGGAATTGGTGCATACAACATCAAATACAAACCATCGCTTCCTACCTACCAGGCTCCCACAGCACTACTGCCAACGCACTCAGCAGACACTTCTCAACAGAACACAAAATGGGAACTGCATCCTGCAATACTTTAACATTTCTTCTCCCTCTGGGGCACCCCGTCAATAGACCTCTTTGCCACAACCCAGAATCAAAAATGTCAGCTGTTTTTGCTCCAGAACGGGACTCGGGACTGCATCCCTAGGAAATGCATTCCTCATCCCGTGGAACAACTCTCTCCTCTACACCTTCCCACCAAGCTTGGCCAAGACAGACGTGTATCCTTACCTACTCTGCATTCATAAGTACATTTCATGGCAATCAACGCCTCACTCACCCTTACTCCCCTCAACAAGCATATTTATAAAGAGACTATTCTCCCTCTTCATTGGCCCATGCAAGTCTGTAATGTGGGAGCACAAAGCCTGCCTAACTTCTGTTGCCCATGTGCATCCAGCTCCATCTGTGGTTGGTGCACTTTTCTGGCTGATTTCAGAGGAACAGCCGTGTTAGTCTGTATTTGCAAAAAGAAAAGGAGTACTTGTGGCACCTTAGAGACTAACCAATTTATTTGAGCATGAGCTTTCGTGAGCTACAGCTCACTTCATCAGATGTATACCGTGGAAACTGCAGCAGACTTTATATACACACAGAGAATATGAAACAATACCTCCTCCCACCCCACTGTCCTGCTGGTAATAGCTTATCTAAAGTGATCAACAGGTGGGCCATTTCCAGCACAAATCCAGGTTTTCTCACCCTCCACCCCCCCACACAAATTCACTCTCCTGCTGGTGATAGCCCATCCAAAGTGACAACTCTTTACATAATCAAGTCGGGCTATTTCCTGCATAGATCCAGGTTTTCTCACATCCCCCCCACCCCCATACACACACAAACTCACTCTCCTGCTGGATGTGAGAAAACCTGGATCTATGCAGGAAATAGCCCGACTTGATTATGTAAAGAGTTGTCACTTTGGATGGGCTATCACCAGCAGGAGAGTGAATTTGTGTGGGGGGGGTGGAGGGTGAGAAAACCTGGATTTGTGCTGGAAATGGCCCACCTGTTGATCACTTTAGATAAGCTATTACCAGCAGGACAGTGGGGTGGGAGGAGGTATTGTTTCATATTCTCTGTGTGTATATAAAGTCTGCTGCAGTTTCCACGGTATACATCTGATGAAGTGAGCTGTAGCTCACGAAAGCTCATGCTCAAATAAATTGGTTAGTCTCTAAGGTGCCACAAGTACTCCTTTTCTTTTTTCTGGCTGAGTATACCAGTTCAGCAGCCCATTAAAGGGGAAATGGCTCGCCTTTGGCTTCACAAAAATTGTGAAGAACTCAGCAAGCCACAGTATGAGCACAGCATTGATGACACTGGAATCCAAACGGGTCTGTAGACGCTGCCAGTGGGATTTCTATCTGCCAAAAGCACATTCAACAACCATTCTAAAACTGCTCAGAGTGTAATTAAACCTTTTGCCAGGGCCTCTGATATCAGGGTACAGTTAAGCCAAGATCAACAGGGGCATGTGGGGTCCCCCAGAATGACAGTAACTCCATTTATGACAGTCATTTGGTGGGAATAGTGTCATAGCCCGTCCATGAATGTAGACTCCCAGTCAGCAGAAAACCCTGGCATCATGAATTTTTCCAGTGCAATTCATGTTGACATTCATAAATTGGCCACCGTGGTACACAGCTGCTTGCATAACAATGGAGAAGTACCCTTTGCAATTTATGTACTCATGTTCTTTTCGGGGGGCAAAGTATGGGCACATGCAGCCCATCAGTGGCCTCAGCACAGCTTGAAAACACTGTTCTCTCAAAGCCAGCAGTTACTTCCAGAATATCTTTTATACCCATCACTGTGGGGTATATCACATGCCTGATTGCCTCAGAAACCTCTGCCACCAATTTATCCACAGTTGACTTTCCAACCCCAAACTTGTTGGCAACAGACATATAGTAGTCTGGGGTAGCCAGCTTCCAGATGATTATAGCAAGTCGTTTATGGACCAGCCTGGCCACCCTCATGCCTGTGTCTATATGCTGGAGAATTGGGGCAAGTTGCTCACAAAGCTTCAGAAATGTAGCTTTCTTCATGCAAAAATATTGGACCTGTTGCTCGTCATCCTAGATCTACAAGACAATGAGATCCCAGCAGTTTGTGCTTGTGGCCCTGCTCCCAGAAGCGTAAGTCTATGTAGGAGTTAGCAGCAGCTAGCTATACCAAGTGTCATGAGCATCATCAGCCAGTTCAAGTCTGCCATGTCTGTGTTCTCCTGCTCCATCATTAGCTCTGTCGGGTGCCTTCAGTGGGTCAGAAAATGCCTCAGAAATGTCCACCAGCATCTCATGGAACCTCTGCCTGTTTCCTGAAACAGGAGTAAAAGTGCATGTAAGAGAAATTCTTCAAATGGCGCCGCCTATATATTGCTGGCTTTGGTTGCTGGGAGCATGCAGACCAAAATGAGAGGTCTTGGTAAACAAATGCTTGGCAGGATGTGTTGGTAGGCTTCAAACTTCCTGTAACGTGCAGGGTGGACAGTCAAGTTTTCTTACGCTGTGCCACAAAGAAAGGGCTAGAGCAATCACATTTCAGGAGAGTGCTAGGAAGTCTGGGATATGGTTGGTTAGACTCGGATCTGCATGCTGCACTATGGATACTAGAGTCCTGGTTTTGAGCCTAGGGTTGGCAATCAGTGTAGATACTCGAATTGTGGGTCCATGACTCAAGTCCCACTAACCCTTGACTTACATTGAAGTGTAGACATACCCTTGGATTCGACCATGGGGAGGTTGGTAAAATAATCTGTATAGAGTAGTGTTTTTCTTAGAAGTACAAAATGAAATGAGTTCTTTACTGGTTTGTATGCATGAAACATGGTAGCTAACTGTCTTGAAAACAGTTTTAAAGCGCTTTTTTAGGGCTTATTTAAAAGCAGATTGTTAAAGTAGTATAACAGCTGGCTAGTAAACTTCAGCTACTTACTTTCAAAATTGAACTATTTAGTTTGGGATTTTGGTGTTCTAATTTGCAAGTCTAATATTTATAATTTTAGTTCTTTTCTATTCTTTCATACAAATGTACTTTCTTTTTATGGCATTCAAGGAGTCCCAGAGCGTACTGCATGCTCTTAGAAGTAACATTCCAGTGACCCAGGTGCCTCAGAGCCCACAGTGGGAAGATTCCAGAAAACAGCTAGCTCATGAATCATCAAGAAATGACGACAACTTGGGGTGAGTTACTTTTTAATTTATAGCAAATAAAAATGAATAGAGGTAAATTGGCTTATATCAAATCTTAGTTTTGATAAAATATGGTGTCTGTCTTTAAAGTTAGGGCTCTGCAAAACCCAGTAGTTTCATTTTATGTGGGCTTCATGGACCCGAACAGGTCAGTGTTGTTATTAAAAACCAAACAAAATTCCTTATGACTTGGAGAGATTTACAAAACCATTGATTTTTACTTCTTTCTTACCAAGATGACATTAAATGTTTGAGGGGGAAGTATCCTAGGGCAATGAATCCCCACTTCTGAGATTTCCTTAGCTATTGTGCGGTGCGTTCTGGGGTACCTTCAACCTCAGACTCTGGTAAGATAGTAGAGTGGCACCAGGAGTTCACTTTTGCTGAAAAGAGACAGGCAGGTGGGCCATTTCCCTTAATTTCTTCTCTAAGGTAGCATGGATCAGAGTGACCATTTGGTGAGTGAGCTGGTTGCCACCTGAAGATCCCAAGAGGGAACCATTGACTGCCCCACAGACATTATTGACGAGGTTATAGGTCTCATGCTGTTGAAACAGTCAGTTTCAACAGTAATACGATTCATATAAGAACCTAGATTGGCCTTTCTCCCAGACCTTCTCCACCTTCCATCCTTTGCATAGATTGAAAGCCAAGGCCTGTGGGTGGAGAGATTTCTATGTCAGGTTGATTCCTCTTCCATATTTGAGAGAAGCCAGGAGAGGACTCAGGGTCACATTGAAACAGAAAACCAGATCTGTTTTTGCCTAGTTTTGGTCCTCTGGTTTTAACTGTGATCATTGACCAGATCTTATATGCGTACAAACAGTATTCGTTTCTCATCTTTCCTTTTTATCCAATGAGAAATACAGCCAGGAGTAGTGTTGTATTACAGCTTTCAGGGAGGTAACCCTTTATTAATACTAACTACTAAAATTTTAGATAATACTGTACTAACAAACTAAAAAGAAAAAGAGGACTTGTGGCACCTTAGAGACTAACCAATTTATTTGAGCATAAGCTTTCGTGAGCTACAGCTCATTTCATCGGTTGGTTAGTCTCTAAGGTGCCACAAGTACTCCTTTTCTTTTTGCAAATACAGACTAACACGGCTGTTACTCTGAAACCTAACAAACTAAAGTCATTACAACTTTTTAATTTTCTGTTCAGCTACTAGAATACATGGTGGTAAGTGTACATCATTTCCCCCTCAATTTATACAGTTGCTGCCTGAAAATTGTTGAATATTGCTCATATTTTAGGGGACTGAATTTTTTAAAAATCATTTTTCCCAGTGGCTCAAGGTATGTCTTTCATCTCTCAATATGTTCAGACTTTCAGATCCATCTCAGAACACTCCACCAGATGTAGACTGGGATTCTCAGGTAGCTTCTCCTGTTTTCGGAGCATCTAACAACATGAAGAACAGCCTGACTTCAAGTCTTTCCCCTTCTGTTTTAGAAACAGGACAGAAGTCCAATGCCAAAAAAAAACCTTTCAACAGTACTTTCAATTCTAGATCTCATAAAGTTAGACCAAAATCTGAAGATGTTGCTCTTGTTGCACCACTTAATCTTGGGGCTGAAATAAACTCTGTTATCAGCCAGGTCTCAGCCAGTAGGCAGATGGTTGTGAAAAGCGATGTTAATGAATCCATAACTTGTGTGGTCAACACTTGCTCAGGTAAAGATGAGATGATCAAGAATGACTTCCTCCTTGCACCTCACAAACAAGTGGCAGATAGATATGCTAAAAGAAAGAAAACAGAAGATGAGCTTGTGACTAGCTGTGAAAAAACATCTTTCAACAAAGAAAACTCTTCCCCTTTTCAAGCAGACTTTCAACCTGTTAATGGAGATCATATAACTGATAAGCCTCTGGACCTGTCTGATCGTTTTTCTGCTATTCACTGTCAAGAAAAAAGCTCAAGAAGTGATGAGATCTGTAAAAATAAACTAAGAGAGGTCACGCTGCATGATGTTTTTTCACAGCTGGTGAAGCCCATTCCAAAGGGTTCTTCATCCATCCAAAATAGCAACAATGGAAGCTATTTGTCAGGAAAAGAGTCACAAGAAGATCCCTATGTACAGGAGATGATTCTCCAGTCACATGGCAAAACATGTCCAGATGATAAACCTTTGATGCAAATAAAAGAAGAAATCTCTGCTTTCAAAATTCCATCATTGCCAAACACAGTGGAGACAGAACTACTTTTTGATGACATGAAGGTATGTTGCATCTGAGGGAAATATGTATTTTATGTTTTTCCTTTCCAAATGTTGTGTTTAAAGTCTGGGAAATGTTAAAATTGTAGTATGTTGTTAGGTTGCTGGTGGCCATGAACCAATTAGAAAGAAAACCAGGACAGGACATGGAGAATGTGAGCTGGCATCTGTGCTTCAACCAAACCCTTGTAGAATAACAAAAACTAAACCACTGCAAAATGAACAAGGTAACTTAAAATTTTTCTTTCTTCAGTCCATGCCTATAGTTGAATGTTCACATTTTTGTTCTCCTCCTCCTCCTCCTGTTGTTGTTGTTCCCTTCCTCTAATCCTGCTCCTAACTTCATGCCCTTTGATATGCCACCTCTTATTCCTAGAATTACCTCTACATTAACTGACTCCATCCTCGTTTGTCTCAAATCACTTTTGAAAACATACCTGTTTCATGAAGGTTTCATCAAGGTTTCATCAATAATGTCCCCTATCATTCTGTTTTCACTAGACAGTATTTGTTCATGGCTTTAGATTAAGGGCAGGAAAGAATTTTTTTTAATCTAGTTTACTTTACGGTATAATAAGTGCACATAGCACATTGCTGCAGTATATGAATAAGATGTTGAAACAAAATAAGTTTGTTATACTGTACACCAACCTTCTCATATATAGATAGACATTTAAAATGAATGTAGCTGGCTTTAAGGCTGTCTGTATGTTTGTTTGCATTCACATTATCCTTTCTAAGAAATTCCTGTTCTTTAGTTATGGAGAGCATTACTACGAAATACCCCTATTTACAGGAATTATACTATATATTTTCACTTTTCTAACTGGAATCTCTGACACTCCCCTCTCTCTCTCGATAACTCTTCACTCAGCAGTATTCTTTTGGAGCCAACTCTGAAACAGAAGAACTCAGACCACCAACTTAGCTATTTGTTTAGTAGTATCTTTACTTTTTTTGTCATTATCAGTATTGAATAGATAGGATGAGCTGACAGACCACAGACCAATTATTGTAATATTATCCTTATTTAAGATCATGATATTTATACGTACTATACAAAAGAGAGTGCATCATTACAGAAACAGTGTATACAGTGAATATACAGAAAAATCTAAAGAATTATTTTAAAATTCTTTATATCCGAACTAAATTAGATCAGATTAGTGTACTTACTCTGCACTATTTCAACCTTGTTATGAGAAAAATCAAGCCTAAAAGAATAATGAATAGCTAAAAAGGAAATACACCTAAGATTGGCATTAGATGTCAGTAGTTTGATTCTGATTTCTCTCTTCTCTCTTGCTTCCTGTATCCCCACATCTAAGATAAACCATCCTTAGAAAATATGCAGTGGAGTATAGATCCAGGAGCAGACCTTTCCCAGTACAAAATGGATATTATGGTTATTGGCACCAAGGTAAGCAGAAATTTGAGTCACACCCTCTTGTCCCATAAAATAAATAATAAACTTAGCTTTTTAAAAAAGCATAAATTAAGTTAATTTGATATTAGGCTGCACATATAAATCATGGTTTAGAAAAAATGCCAAGAGTAGACTTAAACATTACAAATACATTTTACTTATTTTTAAAACAAAACTTTGCAAAGCAGATCCTCAACTTATCTCCCAAAGCTCTCCATTATCCATTACAAAGCTAGTACCACATTCTTCTGAGTGCTTTTCCAGTAGCTGTGGAAAAGGGAACAGTCATTACTAAAATATTTTGTAAAAAAAATTAAAGAATGTTCTTAATTATGCAATTTGTCTTTTGTAAGTGTTCACTGTGAACTCTATATTGTAAATAGTTGGAGACTTACAAGACTTGACTGTATTAACTTTATTTGGATTGCTGACACTTAGTCCGTAAGGAAGCGCCTTGTTGAGTGTTTTCCTGAATGGTAATTGTTTTTGTCCTTCTTGCTTGTCTTAAAAGATTAATTTGTTTGCAAATGTATTGATTCTTCATGTAATTGCAGGTGTTGTTTCCATGAGATTTGACAGTTTGATGAATTGCTTTATGCATCCATAAATACATTTTCCTTTCATAGAACTTTACAGAAGGAACCTGTAGAATGTGATCTCAGTGATTAGTGATGTTCGCCAGATTACCCCGGTTTCAAATCCAGTTGTATAACCTGGCATTAGCAACAAGTTTCTGTATCTCTGCCATGCAGATGTTAGTTTCAGAAGACAACTGTGAAAAACTTATCAGTAGATTCTTAGCTCCAGTAGTGGGGAACTTGTTAAATTTCTTTGGGAGACTTGTCTGAATTGTCTCTGTAAAGCAGGGATTCTCAAACTGGGGGTCAGGACCCCTCAGGGGGTCGCGAGGTGGCAGCCTCCACCCCAAACCCCGCTTTGCATCCAGCATTTATAATGGTGTTAAATATAAAAAAAAGTGTTTTTAATTTATAGGGGGGGGGGGTCGCACTCAGAGGCGTACTATGTGAATGGGGTCACCAGTACAAAAGTTTGAGAACCACTGCAGTGTAAAGAAACTTCAGGTACCTGATATGAGACTGAAATATGTCAATTTGTTATAACTTTTAAGTGTGATTACCATTATTATACTTCATTTATTCAGGAAGGCTCTCAATCAAGAGTAGGAGGAGAGACTGACATGGACTACACATATGTTAGTGAAAGCATGCTATTAAAAATGAAAACCCAAGAGCAGAAAGGAGAAAGCAGTCCAAGTATGTATTTTTCTCCTCTTCACAAATTGATTGAAAATTGGTTGATGATACAATATAGTTTGGTTTGTAGCATTACGGTAGCATTGAGGTAACGATTACAAGTTTATCATGATGGTTTAATCCATTTTCTGTTGAAGTCAATAGAAGACTTTATATTGAGGTCAAAGACTTGGATAGGGTTCATAGTTTATGGCTAAGATTGTGCTTCCTTTCTACACTTCTATAAACAAATTAAATATACCTCATATAGTGCTTGTCTAACCTGAAATAAACATGTTAAATATTTAAGTACTGTCATGACACAAAAAATACCCCATTATTGACCCTATCAAACTTATTTTATCTGTAGAAAGATCTCATTTTTAATATGCTAAATATATACAATTATAATGTGTGCGTGTGTGATTTTATAAAGATATATATATATAAAAATTATTTCATGTCGTATATAAATCAATTTGACTATATTTAAAATATCTAAGTCAGATGGAGGTCTGTTATCATTCACCAGTAAAGAATAACGATATTTGTGTTTGGATAACTCCACAATAGTAGCTATCAACAAAATATCTTCATTCATGCAGTGCTACGGTTGAGGATTTATTATTGTGAAATCACTTTTTCGTCTATACACTTATATCAATCAAGGTATCTTTCTGAGGTAGGAAAGCAGAATCCATATTAAAAGATGAAGAACAAGGCACACAAAAATTAAGGGAGTTGACCAAGCTGCTGTAGCGAGATAGTGACAGAGCTGGAAGTATAGTATAACCCTGTTCTTTTGACTAATGTTCCACCAAAAATATATGTTTTGTTGAAAGACTGATTTGGATGTTCATTCTGACCTTTTTTACAGAGGGAGAAAGAAAAATGAATGATAGCTTAGCAGAAATGTTTGATCGGACATCATATGAAGAATATAAATCGTGTCTGGAAGAGGATAGTTCTTCAGCATGTGATGAAAAAGAAAATCCTCTTGAGGAAAAGGAGGAAAAGGAGGAAGTGTTATCAGCAAGCAAACTAATGAGTAAGTAGTACACTTGTTTTTCCTTTAATTATACTATTAATAATTTGGTCAAACTAAACAAGAACCTATCTTCTTAACTGGGACACAATCCCACTAGAAAAAGAAATATACCAAATAAGTGATTATTTTGTTTATCAGAAACTCAAAGGAATTCATTCACTATTCCAGGATTTTAAGAGAATAGAGAGCTATTTAAAAGCTACTGCATTAAGTGACTCATTTAGCATTCATACAGAAGCAGGGAAGCATCGCAGAAGTTAACATAGGGGCTGTACAGTTGGATGCCTGTTCTAGGAATCACTGATTCTTGGTGTTAGTGAGTTGATTTGGTTGCAGTTATTAACTCAATTTAATGTGGGGGGGGCGATAATTCTTTTTTCAAGGAGCTCTTTCTAAGACTATTTGAATACTTTGCATCCTAGCAACATCTCTCTTCTTTGTGCTCTTTTCCCCAATCTTCCTCATTCCACTTTACATCTCCTACTATTATCTTTTTACTTACACACTATTTTAATCCTCTTGCTCACCCATTCCATGCTTCTCGTACTGCAAGTATATTGTATCTGTTGCCTCAAAGCAGATTATGTATTTCATGAAGCTTGATCTCAGTGCTGTCATTCAGCACGAGAGGACAAATAGATAATTGTGAAATATTAAAATTGAAAAATCTACAGGTGGTTTTGGTTCAGTTCCATAATGGTTGACTAAAATAGTTTTATGCAATTTATGCAGTATATCTCGCTCAATCATTTTATGGTCATTCTGTCTAGGCAATTCAGTAACAGACTTATGGCATGTTTTTATTTATTTACAGAGCATGAGAATAAACAAGATAAAACCAAGCAGAAAGCTTTTGTGGAGCCATATTTTAAAAGTGATGAAAGGTAACGCAACATTTTTTATTAATGTAGGAAGATTAGGTTTTCCCCTCTGAAGAGACCTTATCCTTTCATAAAATAAAACTGCTAAATCATTCCATACAAAGAAGCTGAAGGTGTACAAATGGAAAAATCTCTGTATGAATTCTGGTGGTTATTACAAAGAAAGAAGATGAATCAGAAAGAGAAGCTACAGAACATTGGAAGAGAAGAATCCTTGTCACTTTTTAATAAAGAGACAGAAATGTTACTCTTTTTCTAAAAGCATGTTTCTATAATCTGTGATGTTTTTCCAAACACATATTAGCTCAAGTTACGTATTACCATGTTTATTATGGTAGTGCCTAAGGGCAAGCTGAGAATGGGGCCCTATTATGCTAGGCACTATATAAATGTATAGAGTAGTAGATGATTCCTGCCCCAGAATGTTCACAATCTAAATGGACAAGAGAGACACAGGGTTGGGGAAGGGATATAACATACAAGGAGACTAAACAATTTGATGGTAGCAAACATCAAGTATGTTCCATGACTGGCAGTGGGGGAGTGGTACTTAGGAATGGATCAGCTAAATGGAAAGAAGAAAAAAGGGAAGGAGAGAAAGGGGGACAGGGCAGGGGAGAAGAAGGTAAGGAGGGGCAGGTATGGAGTGAAGCTGAGGTGAAGAGACTGGAGAGTGTGAAGAGTTTGAGTAAACCGGCTACCTGCCCAAGGAATAGAGAGTCCGAGAACTTCCTACAGTTCTGAGTGGAATGTCCAAAGCTGAAAAAAGTCCCTGCTTTGGCTGGTCCTGTTGCTACTTGCTGGAGTCGCTGACTAGCTCCTGTATGCAATTCTCCTCCAAGGCCAAAAAACATACTGATTTCTTATAAGTGAGAGTTTTTTCAGTGTGTCAATTTATTTATTTATTTATTTTAAATCAAGCTTTTTGAAATTCCTGTGGACGTTAAATAAGGAACGTTCAACAGACCACTGTATATCTTAGTGCCTTTCTCCATTCATCTCCTGTTTTCATAATAACCTGTTAGTCTTCATTTCATAATACCATTAAGCATGCAATTTATTGTCTGGCTCACACATCTATTCTATACCCAGCCTGTTTTCACTTTGCAGAGGAAATAGACTGACATTGTGTCTTGCTAAAAAGAAAATGCAAAGTTGAAAAATCCCATACAGTTGGCTCAAACAGAGGTAGAAACATAATGGCACTCGTGAAGCATTTACTAAAAAAACTGAAACCTTAAGTTGGGCAGGCGATGAGTTAGTACAATTCAAGGTTTTTAAGTAGAGCTGAGATGTTCAGCAGTTCCTCTTTCACATAGGGGCATAGATACGTGTAAGACAACTTACTTTAAAAAAACACTGCAACTTCTTTTGGCTACAAATTATTCCTTTGTGTTCAGATGTGAAAGATAGCTTTTTATATGGCAGTTGTCAGGAAGCTGAAGTTTTTTCAAATAATCTGTTAGATTGTCCCAGTGAAATCCTATTATTTCCTTGCTGCTGTCTGCTTCATTGGGTTAATGAACACCTTAACTTCCCAAGGAAATACATTATCAAGTGAAAACCTAGGCTATGTCTGCACTGCGCTACGCTGCAGACTGTGTGGTGGGTGAATCACAGCGTGCACCAGAATGTTGCACTCTAACTGCCCCATGTGGATGCTGCTGGCATGAACTAAAAGGTGCCTGCATTGCATTAACATAGTCCTGTTTGAAAGAGTTGAATGGGAGCAGTTAGAGTGCAACATTGTGGTGCACTCTGCAATTAACAAATCCTGTAGTCTGCACTGCAGAGTCGTGTAGACGTGCTTCTAGTGACTCTTTCCTTTTGCCTTTCAGAAAAAATACTGTGTTAGGTTTTCCTCATATTGAGGTTGTTCGGAAGAGAGAAGAGAGAAGAAAATTGCTGGGCCATACCTGTAAGGAATGTGAAATAGTAAGTAAAACTCTAAGTTTTGGTCAGTCTTGCATTCTTTTAACTTGTTTGGTACCAGAGACCTGAAATGCTTCTCAAATTGAAAACATAGACGCATGAGTACTGGTAAATCAAGTGGCAAAGAAGTCAGTTGTACTAAAGCTGTTGGCCACGGTAGAGATCCATAATAAAAATTAGGTACTGTAATAATGAAAAATAATTAGATAAAACAACATCTTGGAATGATAGCATTGGCATTTACTTACTTATCTTTCCTGTATCTGCTGAAAGGAGTAGGCATTGCAAATCGTCATGTCAATGAGGCCTCAGTTAACAAAAATAAATCAACTAGCCCAGGGGTTCTCAAACTGGGGGGAGGTCGCGAGCTATCAGTCTCCACCCCCAAACTCTGCTTCACTTCCATCATTTAATAGTGTTAAATATAAAAAAGGTGTTTTTAATTTCTGTGGTGGGGGTCACACACTCAGGCTTGCTGTGTGAAAGGGGTCACCAATACAAAAGTCTGAGAACCACTGAATGGTTGATCCACCAATATCTTAGCAAGAGTGTGATAGCACTACTTCTGCTAAAGCTCAGAGATCCAGAATTGGGTCCAAGAGAGAATTGTAATGTTAAGGTGCACTTCATGGTATATTCTTCATGTTTTGTTTTTTCTTTCTGAATTTATATACAGGAACAAGTATTCAAACAATTGCACATGCGTGTATATGTACAAATGGGTACAAAATTTGCCTGTCAAAATTGCAGATATCTTTATAAACCAGATTGAAAATTTAGCCCTCTGCAACTGCTTGTTATTCTGAAAATAACATATGATTTGTCAGTACCAACTATTATAGTATAGTTTTGCACATTGACTGTCAGAGCAGCAGTCTGACTCTTAGTGATATCTGGTTCATATCTGCAGTGCCCAAAACTTATACGTGTAATGTTGTATAACTCACCAATTCTTAGACTAAGCAACAAGTGTAATATAAAGTATAATGTAAGGCAGTGGTCCCCAAACTGTGGGGCATGCCAGGGGGGCACAGAGGAATGTTCAGGGGATCGTGCGGCAGGGCCAGGCCAGCCCCCAAGGGAGGCAGGGAGGAACACTACACTTCCAGCCCCCCTCTGCCCCAACCCTGTCTCTGCCCCCAACCCTGTTCAGCCCCCAGTTCTGCTCTGCCTCAGTCCCACTTTGCACCCTGATCTGCCCCCAGCCCAGTTCTGCCCTCATTCCCTCTCCACCTCAGCTCTGCTGCTAGCCCCAGCTCCTCTGCTATCCCCAGTTCCACCCCCAGCTCTGTCTTCAGCCCAGGCTCCACTGCTGAGGAAGCCTTGGCTATGCACTAATGGAAGGGTGGAGCATTGACAGATTCCGGTAATGGTAAGGGAGGATGCAACTGGAAAAGTTTGCAGACCACTGATGTAAAGGGTAGAGAAAAAAGTCGTAAAGACATTTTTACATTTTTTTTTCTCCCTTTAAAGTAAATGAAATGCTTTCAGACACATATGTGTTACCCTTATTTTATGTATATAATAGACTATGCTTCATTTGGTCATTAATATACTTTTCAATCTGCTGGAGATATTGAGCTACAATCTCATACTTCACAACATGTCTGAGGTGTGGATTAATGAGCTAATAAGAGTTCTCATTGAGTTTTATTGCTTAATTTCCACTCTTATTTAGAACCAATATTTTTCTTAACATCCATTCTGTCCAACAGATAGCTAAATTTCTCCAACTGAGTAATGTGGCTTATTAGTATGTTCTTGAACAAAACAAGTTCATGAAAAATCCCTTTGATAAAACCTTCACTAAAATGAGGTTTTAATGCAAATAGTTTTATTTACAGCTGACTGTAAAAGTAAATTCTCTGTTCCAAAATATGTGAAATCTAGAGGGTTTGAATGAAAACAGAGCATTTTAAAAAAAAAAGCAGCTCTACTCTGTTTCTTGTGCCAAGAGCCATGCATTAACAATTTTAATTTCCTGTCTCTGCATGCTACAGGACTTTTCCTCCCAACGAACCCAGTTCTCGTTATATTTTGGCAAGTAACATCGTGGAAACATTTGTAGACTTTATTTCATAATGTACAAGAGTTAGAATTCTGTTTTTATTCTAATTATTTTTGAGGAAAGGTTTTTTGTTTTTTGTTTTGTTTTTTTAGTATAAACCATCCAAGATTGTACGGAATGGTTGGCAAGAACATTGCACTAAAATGACTGGATTTGAAAAAATTCTTAACTGAAGCTACCACTTGGTTAATTGTCTGCATACTTTGGTCCATTCAGAGCTCCAAAGGAGAATCAGTGTTGAAAACATAGTCCTCATTAGATAAGAAGCCATTTCCATATCCGTTTCTGGCACCTAACACTACAATATACGTTAACATCAGATTTTGGCTCTCTCATCTTTACTCAATATGTAGATATCTGTAAGAGCTACTCCAAAAAGACTGCTCCCAAACAGAATTTTTGGAAGTTAGTCGTAACTCCCTTTTATATTTTTCCTTGATGATACTGCATTCTTGGTCATGATGACTTTATACACAATTTTTAATGAAAATACATATTTTGTGTTTGAAATGGCATCCTTAATAGGATCCTGACTGCTTGTTTATACTTTTTTTTTTCTATCCTTTAGCTACCCTGTCACTTTAAAAGCATCTGTCAATGTTTTCTTCTGCAGTCTGGCAAATATTCACCCCTGTCACCGGTGTTCTAATGGAGCTAAAATTTAAAAGCCTTACTTTCTGGTTCTTGCAAAATAATGACAATTCAGTTTGTTACTGTTGATTTTTGTTTTTTAATTTCCCCAGAAAATAGTACTATAGCTTTTAAATTGTTTTAATCCCGGTTCACTCCATTCCCCAGCAGTTCAGACAATTCAGTAGTTTAGGCCTAAAATTTGTTTTACAACAAACCTGATAGAGGGGAAAAATATGAGGTTTTTAATATACTGTTTTAAAATTCCTAATAAACTGTTTTAGGACCGTTTAGGATTTAGAGCTATTTCTAATTATCCTTAAGTAATATTTAGCTATAATTAATCTGATTGACTGATGTGGATTTTCTTTTTGAACAGACATTGTACAATATCTCTTGTTAATTTAGTTGGTCTGCTTTTAAAAAAAAAAGTTCTTCTGATATGTTTTCTAACATTGACCACTGGAAGTTGACTACAAAATAACCATTACCTGTTTGCTGTTCTGCTTTTCGTCAGCCTATCTATAATCTCAAACACATACTGCTAAAATTCTTTTGTGGATTTGTGTGATGGGGAAGAAATTCTAATCTATCTTTCTAAGCATAGTACTGTAGTTTCAAAGTACATCAACATGTTCTCCAAATGGAAATGAGCAATGTCTAATTTATGTACAGTTATACTAGTTAACAAAACCAGTTTTATAGCACATATAAGACATCTTGGCTGGATGTAAAGGAGAGGGGCAAACATTTTTGCATCAGTAGAGCGAATAAGACACTGGTAGATTCCTGATGTTTAAGTGCTTAGGATTTCTCTCTTGGCAGACTTCGTACCAAAACCTCTGTTCAAAGCAAAAAGTAATTTAAAATTAATCACGTCTGCAGATCTAGCTCTTCTGTCTAACCAGCAAACCAGGAGTCTTGCAAGATAGAAAGGGGAAACTCTGACAGTCTTGGTACAGCCCCATTAAAGGACATTCAATCTCTTTAAGACCTCTTGCTTCCTTGATGACCCAGAAAGCCCGCTTGCCACCAATTGATGAGAATCATGTACTAACGGTGATATTTAGAACAAATTTTTTTGTTCTGTCAAATCAATGCTGGATAACACCAACTCAGCCGTTTATATCTTTTATATCTTATATAATACTTTAATATAAAGTACCTCAGCCTCAGGCAGGCCTGCCCTTACCCCACGCTACAGAAACAGTACAATCGAATTAATCCTCTCTTCATATTACTGTGTGTCATCTCTCATTAATAGCTCTCTCTCTGTGCTGTGGTTGTTTTGCTGTCCATACCACCACCATTGCTGACAGCCTTTCTTTTTTGGTTTTTGACTGTTTTATGTTTCCCCACCAAATATTGAGAGAATTAGTTTGCTAGTATTCTTTAGCATTCCCAGTATGCAGGCCCTTGTGTGGCATCTTACTAGCACTAGATGGAGATGGGAAACGAAACAAAACTTTGGGGCACCCCATTAATAAAAGCAATCCTGTACTGGATGAGCCTTCCATTTCTTTCATGTCTCTTACTCCAGATTACTTTCTGCCTGGCTGGACTAAGGTAAGGTGACCAGACAGCAAATGTGAAAAATTGGGACAGGGTGGGGGGTAATAGGAGATTATATAAGAAAAAGACCCAAAAATCCAGACTGTCCCTATAAAATCAGGACATCTGGTCATCCTAGACTAAGCTTTTAACTTGTTTTGTCTCTTCTGGTCATACCATTGTAGTATTTTGCTATGATTACTTTCACTCTTTTGATGAGCTCCAACTTTAAAAGTTTGAATAGCACAAGACTGTTGGATTGCTAATTGAATTAAATCATTAATTCAAGCTTTGGAAAGACAGTGCTGGATACATAAATACTGCAGTACGTTATAATGTCTAAATTGCAGACTGGAATTAGCAGGAGCTTTTGGCCAGAAGCCTGGTCTATAATACTAGAAGGAGAATGAAAATTATTCCCTTTCATAATACACATTGGAGCCACTCTAATAAATGACTGAACCATGTAAATCAGACACTTTTTTAAAAAGTTATATATAACTATTGTATTACTCAGGGTGTACTGGAATATATTGTGTTCTTTTTGAAGTCTCTGTCATTGCACTAGTGTCAGTGAAGGCAGAATCTGGTTCAATGTATGTAGGGCAGATTTTCACCCTGATCTAATTCTTTTGAATTGTTCGGCCAGCACAAAACAGAATAGAGACTCACCATAATTCTCCTACATGGGATTCTCCCTGTGAGTGGGGAGTTTCCAGATGCCATAGAACTAGCTGCTATGCCTCTCTCACTGTAGCCCGTAGCACAGTTGCTGGGGAGGGGAGCAGAGGAAACCAGATCAGTGTACTCCAGCTAGTTCATCAGGGATCATAGGCAGTTAGCATAGGTTACACCAGCTTCTTAGCTGCTCTAACTTTTGCAATGTGTTGCATAGTAAATCAGGGACCCCTACAGCTTTCTCTCTTCTCCGTTGAAACAACCATGAGCTAGATACAGCAGAGAATCTAGCCCATGGACTGTGTGTTTCATTTATACCTGAAAACTCAATTATTTTAAACTGAATATTGCTACTTTTATTGGTCAATTTTGATTCTTCTATTGGTCTCTGTATGTATTCCAATCTGTTTTAAGCCCCAGTTCTGCAGACTTATGTACACGCTTAATTTTGCATATGAGACCAGTCAATAGGACTATGTACATGAGTAGTTACATATGTGTGAGAGTTTTGTATTGTTTGTTTTTGTTTCATATTACAATGTATAAAACTAACACAGTTGCCTGTTTAGGGTGCATTTCTAAAGTTATAGTAATGAAGATGAAATACGTAATAAGTTTAACAAACTAACACTTAAGGTCAGGGACATGCAAATCTAAATCTGTAGTTTTGGCCAGACTCACCAATGTGTATGTATTTAAGCACAATAATCAGTAGTGATAGTGTGATACAAGTAATGTAATTGCCTCTTATATATCATTGTTCATTTTTATGACCTATTACATATTTTCCAATTTCTGTTTTTAGTATTATGCAGATATTCCAGAGGGGGAGAGAGAAAAGAAGTTGGCTGCTTGTTCAAGACATCGATTCCGCTACATTCCTCCTAGTACACCAGAAAACTTCTGGGAAGTTGGATTTCCTTCCACTCAAACTTGTGTGGAAAGAGGTGAGTATATAAAATTGTTGTGTTGGAAAGTTTGTATGTTTTTGTTTTTAAATTTAATGCTGAGAAAACTGGAGTATTAAAAGCACTAAGATGCTCATTTCATAATTAAAGATTCCCTACACAGCTCTGTCAAATTCCATTTGACCACCAGCTGCTAAAGTCCTGAGTAAATGTTGCCATTTGTTCAATGGCTTCTGGGATATTGGGAAGGGGGAATGTAAAGAGAATTCCTAAGAACTGGGATAGAGTGGGAGGATATGGGAAGAATACCAAAAGAATCCCACCATTCCCTTAAATGGCATAATGGCTTTAAACCATGTACATTTTGTAAGGGGTTGCATCTATATCTTCAAAGGGACTGAAATTCCGAATTAAGAGCCCCATGCATTTCTGAACTCTTTATTATCTAATTACAACAGTACATATACATTCTAAATGTTAATAAATTGTAACTAATTATAGAGGTATGCAGAGCTATCTGTTCTCCAAGGTTTTAAGGTGGATTGCAGGAAAACTTGGCCAGGGATAATTGCTTGAATCCCCATCTTTTCTAAGTAGAAAGTTAGCCAACATATATTATGCATACTGCATGTCACATGAATATGTATTACACATTATATCATATATGAACACTGGGTAGTTTATGCTAAGCTATACCAATGTCAATTGTATTAGGCGTTTCCCAGAGTTCTGTTCACTCATGCAAAAGTATATCCCATAACACTTTACAACAGCACAACTCTGCTCCTTGGCACAGGCAAATACAAAACCTGTCAGAGACAAGATGTATGAATAGTGTGTTCTGATACAGTTAGTAGGCCATGGAGGTACCTCCTGGTGCCTGGAATGTGGTATCCAACTCAAAGATAAGGAAGGTAGAGGACAATACAGAAAAACGAGATGAAAAAAACGGTACAGACTAGCAGGTTGAGTCTTGGATGATGTACAGAGAGCCTTTAACTTGTAAACAACTGTAGTATAAATATAGGTAGTCGAAAATGCGTACTTTTGAAGCAGACCTTCTGTGTAAGGTGAACGCTGCAAGACTGATTGTCTGTATGTATGTCTCCTTTTCATACTGTACTACTCTGTCTTTGACTAATTAACTGACTAAGCTTTGCTTGAATATTTTCAACATCAAACAACAAGTGTAATTAAGTGACTGGCTTTACCTAGTCAAAAAGTGCTGTGGGATCTTCAGCCCGCTATCAGAAGAGATGGAGTTTTGATAAATGTTCCTTCTAATTTTTTACATCCATGTGCGGAATGAATTTTCTTATGTGCACTAATATGGAGGTGATGTGTGGTGGGGGTGGGGCCGAGGGGTTCAGAGTGTGGGAGGGGGCTCAGGGCTGGGGAAGAGGGTTGCGGTACAGGGGGGTGAGGGCTCCAGCTGCGGGTGCAGGCTCTGGGGTGGGGCCAGGGATGAGGGTTTTGGGGTGCAGGCTGCCCCAGGGCTGTGGTGGGGAAAGAGGACTTCTCATTTCCCTTCTCCCTCCCCCTCACCGCAGCCCCCTCTCGCTGCAGCAGCTTGGGGCTGGGGGAGCGGTGGCATCTCTCTCCCGGCCACAGCAGCTTCGAGGCTGGGGCCGGGGGACAGGCACCTCTCCCTGCCTGCACGGCCCTTGATAGCCACCTGCACAGCTGCGCAGCTTAGAGGGAATTTAGGTTTTGATGTGTGAGGTCTTACGCAATAAACTGTCAAACAATGAGCAGCAGTGCTAATTAAGCTACTTTAAAAGGATAAAGGGTTAAGTCCATTTATAATGTGATATTTGCAATTGTTGTTCAAAAACAGAATGCCCTTATTTAAATGGCTAGTCCTTGGCAATCCCTTGAAGTGATTTTGTATATTTTAATTGTGGGTCACACAAAGTATTTCACCAGCTGCAAAGAAGTAATCTACCAATAAACTTGATTTTAATGAATTTAGTCCTTGTGAACAGAGCAAAGTTGACAAATATGAAGGCTAAAATCCTATACTTACCCACAAAAATAAAGCAGAGACAGCAGCCTTTTTTTAGAGTATGATACGTTGTGTCCAGAGAATTATGATACGTTGTGTCCAGAGAAGTTGTATTGCGTGCATTTGATAAATTAGAATGTGGCGAATATGCCTTGTGTTAAATAACTCAGATTTTGCAGTATTTCTATACATCTTGCAGAAATAACTTATTAAAATAAAATATAAAAGCTTCTATTAGGGAGGACAGTGAAATGTGTAATGAGTTGCAAAATAGTTGAACATTTGACAGCCTGATTTCTCAGTAGACCTTCAGTATATTCAATCTGTATTAGCTATTAGGAAACTACTGTAAATCAATATAACTAAATGTGTCATTTTTTAGTGGATAATGTTTTTCATTGGCTGAGGGCATTCTAAATGATCCCTGGCAGGGTCAGACTAGTTTCCAAAAATGAAAAAAATACTTTAACCACAAAAAGCTTTGTGGTAGGCAAAATTCAGTGGTCTGTTAAATGAATATTACTTTTGCTTTTATACTGTACCATCTCTTAACCAGATTGTTTTGAAATCTTCACCCTGATTTTATTTTTATTCTTTTAAGGCTATATTAAAGAGGATCTTGCGCCCTGTCACCGTCCAAAAAGAAGGCAGCCTTACAATGTGATGTTTTCTCCAAAAGGCAAAGAACAGAAGACATAAATGATGGGGAAACAAAGCACATAAATGTGGGGAAAGTCTTTCCTGTCATTAGATATTTATAGTTAATATAAACTTGAAATAAAAATACTGTGGATTTTTCCAAAATGATAAATCATTTAATTAGATATGTAAATCATTTCCCTCTTAGAAAGTTCATTTGAAAATCTGAAGTATGTATCAGGAAACACTACTATTTAATGTATGTTTGTTTCATTTTGTGTTAATATGTTTTGTCTTAATTTTGCACCTTTAAGACAGTAGGTCTGCTCCTGTTTCCTCCCATTGAAGTCAATGGCTAAATGCCCATTGGACCATATCCAAACCTGAAGTAAGGTGGGTGTGACTCCTTTGAACTCAGTGGAGTTCTGCCTGCTCATTCTAAGTCTAAATGTTGCTTATAAATTTCAGTGGGAGCAGGACTGGACCTGGTGGGGGGCTTCCATTTTGCACTGGATAACTTAAAGGATTTATCACCTTCCCTTTTTTGTAATAATTGTGATATATCTAATTGCAATAAACAAAGTAGTATTTATTAATGATTTCAACACCTCAAAACTTTATCCAGCAGAGATCCCCATTCATAATTTCTTGTCCCACTGATGCATAACAAAATGGTTCTTACTTCTCCACAATTTCAGTGGTTTAAGTTGGAATTTTAAAATTTTTTGCTCCAGCTTATTATATGTGGCTCTTTTTTTTTATTATTTTAATTCAGTGTCATCTGTATACCTTTCCTTCATAGTACCCAAAGTTATTATGTCTCACATATCACTAGGGATGTCTGAATTGAGGGCAGAGGGTCAATACCATTTGGAATGTATTGTGCCCAGACTCCTCCTAAAGATCTTCAACACTATCCCCTAGGCTGAGTGGCCTCTTAAGACATGTAGTCTTGTAAATTTCTATGTTGCACAACAAAGTGCACACGTTGATACCTCACCATATAGTGCAACTGTCTCAGTACTACACTAAATTAAAAGGTGGAATGTAGTATTGTGAAACGTTAAGATGATAGAGATGCAATATTTAAACCTCAGTGGAATGTGTGTACAATGCCAAAGTGAGAGTTTAAAAATACCTCCTATAAACAGCACTATAAGGGAATATTCCTTCCACTCAAAAAGACTTTTATCCAACTTGTGTGAATAACAAAGGCAAAAGAATATAAAGCCAATGGTATTTTTTACACAATTACTAAAACAGCTTTTATTTATGACCACTAATCACAACCATCTATCAATTTAAAAGCTATTTTGCATGTGCTGTGTTATGCCTGGGACATGTCACTTATTTCCATTTTACAGAAGAAAGTTAATACCTACCTCAGAGCAGTGTTGTGAAGATTTTTTTTTTTTTTAATGCTTTCAGATCTTTGCATCAGAAGCTGTAAGTGTAGAGTATGTTTCTAATTAGTTTCAGAAGGGATCTTGGATTGTTAGGGACAACATTATTAGACACCCATTGTAGTAGGCACTATCATAGAATCATAGAATATCAGGGTTGGAAGAGACCTCAGGAGGTCATCTAGTCCAACCCCCAGCTCAAAGCAGGACCAATCCCCAACTAAATCATCCCAGCCAGGGCTTTGTCAAGCCTGACCTTAAAAACTTCTAAGGAAGGAGATTCCACCACCTCCCTAGGTAACACATTCCAGTGATTAACCACCCTCCTAGTGAAAAAGTTTTTCCTAATACACAACCTAAACCTCCCCCACTGCAACTTGAGACCATTACTCCTTGTTCTGTCATCTGCTACCACTGAGAACAGTCTAGAGCCATCCTCTTTGGAACCCCCCTTTCAGGTAGTTGAAAGCAGCTATCAAATCCCCCCTCATTCTTCTCTTCCACAGACTAAACAATCCCAGTTCCCTCAGTCTCTCCTCATAAGTCATGTGTTCCAGTCCCCTAATAATTTTTGTTGCCCTCCGCTGGACTCTCTCTCCAATTTTTCCACATCCTTCTTGTAGTGTGGGGCCAAAAACGGGACACAGTACTCCAGATGAGACCTCACCAATGTCAAATAGAGGGGAACGATCGCACCCCTCAATCTGCTGGCAATGCCCCTACTTATACATCCCAAAATGCCATTGACCTTCTTGGCAACAAGGGCACACTGTTGACTCGTATCCAGTTTCTCGTCCACTGTAACCCCTACGTCCTTTTCTGCAGAACTGCTGCCGAGCCATTCGGACCCTAGTCTGTAGCGGTGCATGGGATTCTTCTGTCCTAAGTGCAGGACTCTGCACTTGTCCTTGTTGAACCTCATCGGATTTCCTTTGGCCCAATCCTCTAATTTGTCTAGGTCTCTCTGTATCCTATCCCTACCCTCCAGCGTATCTACCTCTCCTCCCAGTTTAGTGTCATCTGCAAACTTGCTGAGTGTCATCTGCAAACTTGCAATCCACACCATCCTCCAAATCATTTATGAAGATATTGAACAAAACCGGCCCAAGGACCAACCCTTGGGGCACTCCACTTGATACCGGCTGCCAACTAGACATGGAGCCATTGATCACTACCCGTTGAGCCTGACAATCTAGCCAACTTTCTATCCACCTTATAGTCCATTCATCCAGCCCATACTTCTTTAACTTGATGGCAAGAATACTGTGGGAGACCGTGACAAAAGCTTTGCTAAAGTCAAGGAACTACACGTCCACTGCTTTCCCCTCATCCACAGTGCCAGTTATCTCGTCATAATGTAGTACTTCAGTGTTTATTAAATTAGGTTTTTAATTTTAGGGTATCTTCTTTACAGCCAAATTAGACCTCTAATGACAATCACCTCCACACACATTAGTTGAGATGTCAAACACATTAATGGTTTAAAATGAATTTGATTAAGGAAGTAGGGATTGGCAACACTTGAACTTGTAAACAAATACTTGTTTTTCTAAGGATGCTATTAGCAACAAAGACTGAGGGAAGAGAATAACCGAAAATGTCAAGTATAGATGCCACTCAGAAACAATTATAAGAATAGCTCATTTAGGACTTGATCCTGTAGTCTTAACCCAATATTGAAAGTTTTGCCTGGGTACTAAAGAGTTTGGCTTCTCCCTTCCATGCATCCAGTTAGCTTGTACTTCTGCAGGACATCTTTGTCCACCATTCTGTACTGATTCTTGTATTAAAAAGTAACTGGATGTCTGTGGATTAACTAGAAAACTGGAAAAAGTGTGAAGAGCTGCGTGCTTTATTTTCTACTTCAACCTTCATGCATAGAAATAATATGGTTTTAAAAAAAGAGTGTAGCAGGAAAGGGCTTAACTCCCACTGACCCTGTCCCCACCCAGAACTATTTCTCATTTCTATGTCTTTTTAGATGTGAGAAGGTTCGCGTCTGCTAGTACTACGTCCATCAAATGTTCACAGTGCCAACGAGAGGCCTCAGATAGTTCTCTTGCTAGGGCATAAATGTTAGAGATACCATTCCTATCTCTGGGAGATTCCTATATGTGCATGAGAGGTACTAAGTTGCCTGATCTGTACACCAACATTGAAATAGGTTAGACAAGTAGAGTTAAGGTTTTCTGCATATTCAATGACACTGTGCCCCATAAATCTTTAGCTCTAATACTTAATGTTGAAACGTCCCTGCATTTTGATTATTGGATTGTCTGCTATTTTTAATAGTAATTTCTGCTTATTTTAAGATCACTAGTACATACAGTGTTTCTGGTGTTGCTTAAAAAGTAGAAGGGGAGGGATCCCACATATTTCTTCAATACATAAATGTCTTCTGCAATATAAACCAAGGACTCTAATAATGCAGTTTGCTTTAAAAGGCAGTTAATTTCTATGAGGATATTACTCCACCAGAGGACAGCAAGGATCTGCTCACTGTTAAAATATGGGGAAGAAACTGCTATTGTATTTCCAGTTAACCAAATCTTTTAGACTTTAGTGAACTATGGGCAGTTATTCAGAGATTTGTTTTTTAAAACTTTATTTAGAAAAATAGAAATGGGAGCTAGCTATGTCATCTTCTCAAAGCTCTCATAACCAGTGAGCATGGGTGAAAGTTAATGCTGTTCTAAACAAGGCACATTGCACGTGTTAAAATGCCCCATTTCATTCCTGGGCTTTGAGTTTTGATAAGCAGAAGTACAATGTTTCGATGACTTAAAAGTATCTAAAATGATTGACCTGACAGAATTTCAGTTGCAAGTGGAGGAATGCTGGTTAACCAAGTCAAAGAATTAAAAAAACAGACTGCATGAGAAATATGGTAGATAAATGAAAAGAAATAGGCAATGTTCTATTGCTGCTAAATTCTTAATTTTAGAACAACTGAATTTGTTTTAAAGTAATTGAAATATCCAGGACAGCACAGAAACCACAGTACTTGGGAAAGTTTTATATAAACAATAAAAAGACAGAAATAGTTAAATTTATAAATATTACCCAGTAAGTGTGTCTTTTTGTTAATAAACTTATCTATGCAAGACATTTATGGTCTCAATAGAAAACTTTCCCAGCCAAAGGGAAAAAAATCACTGCTTAAATTCTGATGCTGATGTACATCTGCTGTGTTCATATGTTAAATCCTATTCATATTCTGTCATAGAAAGATGAAATACTATCATGTAAGTGCACAACGGGTTGAAAATCCATACTCAAAGGTAATTACCAATGGTCCACTGTCAAACTGGGAGGATGCATGTCGTGGAGTCCTGCAGGGGGCCTGTCTTCTGTCTGTTGCTAGTCCACACTTTCATTAATGACTTGGATAATTAAGTAGAGAGTATGCTTATAAAATTTGCAGATGACACCAAAGGACTGCAAGCACTTTGGAGGACAGGATAAGAATTCCTAACAAATTAGACAGGTTTCAGAGTAACAGCCGTGTTAGTCTGTATTCGCAAAAAGAAAAGGAGTACTTGTGGCACCTTAGAGACTAACCAATTTATTTGAGCATAAGCTTTCGTGAGCTACACGAAAGCTTATGCTCAAATAAATTGGTTAGTCTCTAAGGTGCCACAAGTACTCCTTTTCTTTTAACAAATTAGAGAATGTGTTTGAAATCAAGATGAAGTTCAATAAAAAGACAAGTGCAAAGTACTCTAATTAGGAAAAATAATCAAGTGCACAAGTACACCATGGGGAATAACTGGATGCGTGGTCCTTCTGAAAAGGATCCAGGGGTTATAGTGAATCACAAATTGAATGAGCCAACATTGTGATGCAGTTGCAAGAAACAAAGGCTAATATTCTGAGGTGTATTAACAGGAATGTTGTATGTAACGCAAGAGAGAGAATTGTTCTGCTTTACTTGGCAGTGGTGAGGCCTCAGCTGTAGATGTGTGTCCAGTTTTGGACACCACATTTTAAGAAAGCCAGGGACAGATTGGAGAGAGTCCAGAGGAGAGCAACAGCAATGAGAAAAGGTTTAGACGACCTGACCTATGAAAAAAGGTTAAAAAACCCTGGGCATGTTTAATTTAGTCTGATCAGGTTTCCCCAAGTCGTCTTTCCTCCAATCTTTAAATGTGTTAAGGGCTGTTATAAAGAAGACAGTGATCAGTTGCTCTCCATGT